TGACCAGAACCCACGCTCATACGACCATACGGTCAAATGACTACAACCTACGCTCATATGACCACAACCTACGCTCAAATGTCCGTATCCTACGCTCATATGACCACAACACACGTTCATACGACCAAAACCTACGGTCAAATGACCACAACCTACGCTTATACGACCAAAACCCACCCTTATACGACCAGAATCTACGGTCAAATGACCACAATCGAATCTCATACGACCACAACCCTCGCTAATACAACCACTCTACAGCACCAAGATCAAGCTTGGGATCTTTTCGGGTGAAGAAATGGAGCGCATGGCCACGCTGCGGTGTGTGAACTTTCCACTTTTTGAGCCTGGAGCAGGCGGCAAAGCACTGCCCTTCGGTGTCCTGGATCAGCGTCTGGTATGTGTGTAAGCTTAGAATGTTGTCTCTTTTGGCCAAATTACAGGCCATATGAATATGAATATTTGGGGAGAGAATAGGGATACTACATGTCTGCCTGTATGGTCCTGACGTGCGGGTTATATGGAAATCACCTCGCATCAGCACATGGCACATGATTTTCTTTCTACGCAAACTGTATTACAGCATCCCAATGTGCTGTGTTCACTCAGTACAAGCTAGTTGATACAACGTAGACCACACCACATACACACACTCTAAGCTGACCCGCCCGCATAGTCGTTTTGACGCTATGCAATAGGCTTTGGCACTGTGCGTAGATGCCCACACATACTAGTGATAGTAGTAGCACTTGCTAGCGATAGTAGTAGCGCACGCCTTCATTCGGCAACTGCCCCCGAGCAAAGACGTCCACGTACGCTTGCACGATGGCGCTGTAGCTATATCTGTATTGAAGTGGCCACAGCTCTCAGACCTGGGGATGGTACTATACCGAGTGCATAGCAGCCATTGAATGTGAGTGTGTGATAGCATACATGCCAACTTTGCCTAGTCTGTGGCTAGGGCCTGGCCTGGCCTGGTTGCCTGGACTTACTTTCTGTATAGATATATTAAGTGTGAGACAGCCTGGGTCACCCTAGGAAGTGGGATTGTCTGTACTGCATTCCACATACCACTCCATACCGTGTACGTGGGGCAGCGCACTCTCCTGTAGCCAAATTTGTGTGCTCGTTTCTGTCACTATCGTATTACCCAATGAGAATTCAACGCTGCTCCGTGCTATATTTAACAGCCAATGAATGTGCTTTCTTTTGCAGGGGGCGGCGAACAAGGGATCGTACTGTGACACGTGCTTTCTCGGCCGCGAGGAGTGTCCCGGTCACTATGGATTGGTGCGCTTGGAGTTGCCCGTGTTCCACTCCGGATACTTCAAGTTCATCATACAGATCTTACAGGTGGGTGTACCATCCACGCTGTGGGATATAGCTGTTCACCTGTGTCTGTCTATAACTGTTCTTTGGCTCGGACTTGCTATGAGATACACTGACCGCACTTCCTCGGTTTGCATACGTGTAGTTGGTCTGTCTTACGTTTACACTGACACCAGTTACTTGCGTATTGCCCTGCAGATGATCTGTAAAGACTGCTCAGCGGTGTTGCTAGACCCCATGGAGAAGCTACGCATGCTCAAACGGTCCCGTAATCCGGATTTAGATCGCTTACAACGCGGTGCCGTGTACAAAGCAGTTTTGGAAATGACCAAAAAGAAGAAAAAGTGTCCCTATTGTGGGGCTACAAACGGAACAGTTCGCAAAATCCCGCCCCTAAATATTGTCCACAACAAGTACCCGCCCCAAAAAGTGGGTGCCAAGGCAGGCCCTGACCCAAATTATGTGGCGTTTCAGAAGTCGTTTGAGCATGCGGTCTCGGGCAATAATGAACTGAGCCCACTCATCAAGAACGCACAGGACGATTTAACGCCCTTGCGAGTGCTCGAACTCTTTAAGGTGTACTTCGGAGCGACGTGACGTGCGTGTTTGTTTACGTGCACGTGTATGTTTTGTGCATGTGCATGTGTATGTGTATGTGTATGTGTATGTGTATGTTTTTTTGTATGTGTATGTGTATGTGACCGGTCGTGTAGGTTTGGTTACAGCTACTGTATATGTAGCGCCCATTGTGTCATGTCCTGTGCATGTGAGACTACTGATGATCGGTGTTACAAGTGCTGCGTATATGTGGCTGATTCTTTGGTCTCTAGATCAGATTCAGTTTATGTGTGCCTTTCCTATTTGGTTTTTAATATATTTTCTGTTCATGTGTGACGAGCCTTGTGGTGCTCATTGTCGTTGATGTGTTATATGTTTGGCTATCTTAGTGACGTTCGATTCAGATACTGTGCATATCTGACTATATGTTTGGTCCTTGCTACAGCTACTGTTTTATAAGTACCATTGGGTGGATGTGGAAACCACTGATTTATTCTTTGAGGCCTATCGCGTGATTTATAGTGCAAGCACTCGGTACTGTGTCTGGTTGTGTGCGTCTCATGCACTCCAAGATGATAGGAACAATCACTCATTGCCTTCTAAAAGCACAAGAATATAACTAGGACACATGACCACTTATTCTGCCCTATCCAAGTGATCGATGCCCTTTGGTGGCCAGTAGCGAGTATTGGGTCACAGGCTGCTCTGCTTTGACAAGGCTTTTTATATATACATCACAATTCAGAAATACATAAATATGTTCATGTGTGTGGTATACACATAGGCATATGTGCCTGTACATTTCTGTACTTCGTGTTTTCCTGTAGCTCATTCCTTTCATCATATTCTACCAATACCTTGTTCTACTATAAATTCCAATATCACGAGACGAAAACAGACTTGGTCGGAGTATACATCTGTGATGTATCTCCTTCCCTTCAGTATATGGAGTTTATTGTCAGCGCTTGTACTGTTCTATAGTGTATTGCTTGTATTGTCCTTGCATATGAAGTCAAATATGTCTTCCATATTAGGAGAGAATGTATCATTTTCGCTTTGATATAGAAATATATATATATATATATATATTCAACACAGATTTATCATTCACATGCAGCCTATTTCTGGTGCGGATTACGACTTGGGGTGCACATACATGTACAATATATCCTCTTCCGTCCTACATTGAATAGCTTACATTATCCTTATATACCAATATAACTATCTCATTCCCATGCAGGCTATATCAGGTGAGGATTGTGACCTGATCTGGATGGACAGTGTAGGCGGGCGCCCAGAACGAATAGTACTCACACATCTGTTGGTACCACCGACTATTATCAGACCAGGTGTGCCGATGTTGGGCGGAGGCGGCAGCACAGAGGACGACCTCACCATGAAGGTAAGTATCTATTTGCGTTCACTTTTTTTATGTATATGCTGTATTTATCACTGTATATAAATCTAGCCACAAAAATGATGCAATATATATATATGTATATATATGTATATATATATATTTATATATATATATATGTGTGTGTGTATGTATATATATATATATGTATATATATATATATATATATATATATATATATATATATATATATATG